AATTATTAATTACTTAATATATTAATTTAAGATTATTAATTACATGTACTCAAAACAAATATAAATGTAACCAAACACGATGTCACTTTTTTTATCATATTTAAACTAATTTCTTGAAAAACCACAAAACGTAATTTCAAAATCGATTTCAAAATATTTTTAAGACAATATTATTTTCATTTTTGTATTGAAAATAAAACTATTTTAAAAATATTACCAAACTGGCCTTAAGAATAAGAATAATAATAATAATAATAATAATAATAATAATAATAACAATTATAACAACAGTAACAATAATAAGAATAATAATAATTATAATTATAATAATAATAATAATAATAATTATTATTATTATAATTATAATAACAATAATTATAATTATAATAATTATAACAATAATAATTATTATTATTATAATAATAATTATTATTATACAACAATAACAACAACAACAACTCAACCCATCCCATTCAAGTTCCTAGCAGATTGACCCGACGACGACAACAACTTAACCCATCCCATCCCATTCAAGTTCCTAGCAGACCCGCCGACGACAACAACAACAACAACTCAACCCATTCAAGTTCCTAGCAGATTGACCCGACAACGACAACAACAACAACAACTCAACCCATCCCATTCAAGTTCCTAGCAGATTGACCCGACAACAACAACTCAACCCATTCAAGTTCCTAGCAGATTGACCCGGAATCCTTGCTCACTGGGGCACTTAATCAAACACTTTGAGGGCAGGAACAAACACCGCTCACCTTAAACAAACAATTTTAATACAAGTTTCACCTTTCTCCATACCCAAAAGCTCAACGGCAACTTTCTCCGGAACTACTTTTTTTTTTTTTTCCTTATTTATCTCTTGATTCACTGAACGAATGAATTTGTTCAAGAAAAAAAAAAACCGTTTTGTTTCCTCAAACTGGTTATTTTTGTCTTTTTTTTTACATTATTTTCATTTAAGGGTATTTTAGGTATCTTAGACATAAATAGAGCTTTGATTAAGAAGGGTATGAATTTATACATCGACTGTAATTGTTTTTATTATTTATTATTTTTTCAATTTTCTTACTCGTTTATGCAGAGAGCAAACACTTTGTGCGCGCGCTCATTTCGTAAAACATGGAAGAATTGCAGAGAGCTCTGAGCTCTAGAGGTTTAACAGTTTCGACTCTCCCAGAGAAAGGCCGCTGCCTCTTCACCACCCGAGACTTCCGTCCTGGTCGCTCCTTCTCTCTCTCAATATATATATATATATATCTCTTTCTGATCTCAATTTCTCCTCTTCCAAATGCTTACTTTCTGATTCAACAACAAACCTAACTAAAATCTCAAAAAGAAGAAAAAACGAGGATATTTGGCTGGATAATTCAAACCAGAATCATAGTTCATAATTTAAATGGTTCATCATTAGCTACGGTGTATTTTAAAAAAAAAATACACGTAAATCAAAAATAGTTATAATCACATTATTCCAATCACCAAACGTCTCATAAACTTCTTGGTGTTTTTTCAGGCGAAGTTATTATAAGCGAAAAGCCTTATGTTTGCGCGCCGAACAAGTCCGGTGATGGTGTTGAGTGGAGGTGTGATGGATGCTTCGGGACGACTAACCTCAAAAGGTGCTCCACTTGTCAAGTTGCCTGGTATTGTGGAAGCAATTGTCAGGTATCAATGTAACAGATTTTTTTTTTCTCTCTTGAATGCATTTTTCATTTTCGGGATGATTCGAATGTATAGTTTGCATTATTAGAAAATGCAATCCAATATTGACTTACATCTGAAGAGCTTTTGGGAGAACTGATAACTGACATGGTGATCTTGATATAACTTCTGAACTTGTTAAAAAATGAGGATTTAAACCTGTCTTGGTTGGTACTTGGTGGGAGAGAAAAGGAGAAGGTTCGATCCCCAAGGAGTTGGCTCAATGGCGAATCACTTGGACTTAGTGCCTCAGGAAGCATTAGGTCTAAGTGCTATCAATTCCTTGAGGCCATGCCCGCGATTTAGACGATCCATGTGGAGGGGGCGCTTTGCATGGATCCCGTGGATTAGTTGGGACAAAGTCTCGGAACCGCAGTTATCCAAAAAAAAAAAAAAAAAGGGAGAAGGAAAGAGAGGGATGAGGGATTAGTGGAAGGATTCTGGGACTGTAATTCTTTAGTAGGAGAGAAGAGATGAGGGAGTGGACTGGACGGGGGATTTCAAATCTTTCAAAGAATGCCAGTTTCAATCTTTCTCAGTATAAAGAGATTAGAAAAGGGGAGTCATGCCAGAAGATAGGACTTTCCCTTTCTCATCACTTTCCTCACTTGAGTTATGTACCTCTTTCCTTCCTATTTTCTTTCCTTCTTACCAAACACAGACTTAAATGTTGGCAGACGTCCTGGTGGCTTAGGCCTTTTGGGAGAATTGAATTGAATCAATTAATGAATTAAGATGAATTACTTTTTCAGAAGGAGGAGTGGAAATTGCATCGTCTTGAATGTGATGCGCTGTCAAAGCTTGATAAGGACAAGAGAAAATCTGTCACACCTTCTATACGTCTCATGCTCAGGCTCTACCTTAGGAGGAAATTTGAAGCTGAGAGGGTAAACTATTTTCTTTCTTAGTTTTAGGTTATCTCTTCGAGGTATACGAGTTTTTATTATATGCATAACAATTTCTAAACTGGGTATTCAAAATTTTGATCTTTTGTGTGATGTATTGCATGATCATCTAATTTTTCACTCGTTGCTCTCAATTCCTGCTAGGTCATCCCAGCTACTGCTATGGAAAACTACAAGTTGGTGGAGGCATTGGTGTCTCGTATCCCTTTTCATTTGTATTTTGGTCCAATAAGCTCATTTATTTCTTATCTCAAGTTTATTTTCAATTTTAAATTGTTCTACCTTGATATTGCGTAAAAGATATGTCCGACATTGAGGAGAAGCAACTCGTGTTATATGCTCAGATGGCTAACCTTGTCAACTTGATTCTTCAGTTGCCTGATATCAACATCAAAGAGATTGCTGAAAACTTTTCCAAGGTTACTTGATAAAACAGTTTTACAAATAATTCCCATCATGATGAATTATAAACTTTTTTGCCCGCTTCATCACTTGTAAATATAGGAGTACCCTTCTTCTCTAAAATTGCTAATTATTTAACCCACTAGGAATCCTTGGTGATTTTATTTAAAAATTTTCTTTTTATTGGGTTTCAATCTTTGGATGAAGGCTATATGAAATATGCTTCTTCTACAACCATGCAGCTTGCATGCAATGCACATACGATCTGTGATAGTGAATTAAGACCTCTCGGGACTGGACTGTTTCCCGTCATTTCAATTATTAATCACAGGTAACTGTTAGTTTACTGATCATAAGTAGCTATAGTAGCTATTTTAGTTGCGTGATTTGTTTTAGATAACATCCTCTTGCTGTCAGTCTGTTAAATTTTTGTGGTGCTGCAGCTGCTTGCCGAATTCGGTTTTGGTATTTGAAGGAAGGTCAGCTGTGGTACGTGCTGTGCAACATATACGCAAAGATTCCGAGGTAATATAGTCAAAGTATTTGTAATTGGATTCCAACTTGAACAAAAACTTTTCATATATGATAATCATGTTAAGAACATGTATTCCTGATCATAGAGGAATTGGGGCTTGTATCTTTGACTGGTTATCCTCCGAAGTTAACTTTGTAGATAGTTCAAATATCGCACAGCTTTAGTCAAGAGTGTTGTACTATTAGATGAAACTCAGATGTTTGTCCTCTCCCCTAGATGAACTTCACATGTCATTTATCCTGTCTATTCCCAGGGGTCTACCCTTCCTATTGCTGAAGACCTTTGAAGAAGGTCCATTGTCATTAATGAATATGGAAGACCCTGAGAGAATGCTAAAGAAATATGCTGGATTTAATGATTTATGTGAAAGAAGAGTTCCATTGTCATTAATGAATATGGAAGACCCTGAGAGAATGCTAAAGAAATATGCTGGATTTAATGATTTATGTGAAAAAAGAGTCTTTCTATTTGACATTTAAAAGGTAGGAATCTTGTGTGAAGAAGCCATAAAACAAGTAAGCCAAGATAATTTCAAAGTTCTAAAGAATAATCTAGTGCAGAATTCTGAAAACAAATTTTACCTAAAGGCAGAGGGTTGTGAAGCTATCAAAACGCACACATCTCCTAATGGATTACTCAGTATAACTCAGTAGTTTATAGTAGTTATGAGTTTGTTTGCAATCTCTTATTATTCAAAGACGCATATATTTACTCTAGTATGATTTTTAGTTACTAACAAACTTAGTGAAAAAACTGAGTAACTTTTTGGGACTTGTTCAGAAACCCAGACTGCTTTCATTTGGGCACTGGCACAATGTTTCCACGAAAGTCCAGCTGCCACCTTTTTGCCTTGCTTAGAGCTTGCACCATCATACTCTTTTCTTTATAGAAGATACCAGAATAATGTAGGTATGTTACATTTAAATTGATGCAGTGTCAGTATTTCTTTCCATTTCAGATTTATTCTCTACCCTAAAATGCATAAACCACAGGTCCATCTCCTAGTTGCTCCTCCAAAATATTGAATTTTCAATTGCTCCTGGATGAAGCAACATCAAATTTAACTTACTCTGTAACAAGTCACATAAGAAACTTTTGAAATGTCAATAAAGTAGAGTTAAACCTGTATAAATTAATTGGAAGCTGGGTTTACAGATGTAAATGAGTTTCAACCGTGTGAAGATCTCCGCTTAGAACCACAGTATGGTGACGTGCCTTTGTTACTTTTTATATTTTCCCCTTGGACCATCTGCTATGTTGCACAAAACGGTTTTTGCGACAAGATTCCTTGCAATGAATACTATAGCATAGTAGTGAGAATCCTAGATTTTGATTTGTCCTCCTTGATGGCAGGAAGCTTCTCTTTGTGATCCATTCTATAAACTATTAAGTCCTTCACTGGAAGCATTATTCTGATTGGTTAAAATGTATTCATTTTTTCTGCAGTGTTTTGTCAAGTCCTATTGCTATATTCTTTACTTTCCTGCATATAATTCTGCTGTCATTAGTGAATGCACACACATTGCGCAGATGCATATACACGTGTATGGTTATCATAGGAAAAATATTACATCTCCCTAGCTATCATAATATTGATTTGAAGTTTACTCTTCCAATGATCCAATCTCGATCTGTAAAATTGCTTACGCGTGAGCTTTTAATGTTATTTTGTTAGGTGTTGATAAGTTATATAGAAACTGCTGGAAGCACTATGACTCGCCAGAAGGCCTTAAAAGAACAATACCTTTTCACTTGCAACTGTCTTCGCTGCATCAAACTGGTACTTGAAAATTTAGCTCCTTTCCCACCCTTTTTTTTTTCTCTCTTTTTGCCAGGAAGTTAGCTTCGTTTTAGACCCCCTTGTGCCCTTGTTGGTTAATAAAACCATTTTGCTACTCAAAGGGCCAATCTGATGATATCCAAGAAAGTGCAATTCTAGAAGGTTACCAATGTAAGAATGTCGGATGTGATGGCTTCTTGCTCCGTGATTCTGGTATGTGATCACTTCAAGTGAGATTGATAACGAAAAAAGAATAATTGTTAATAAAAGTTGGGTAGACTGAGTGACTATTTTTGCATCCCTGAAATCTCAATATGCAGATAATATAGGATTCATATGCCAACTATGTGGACTTGTTAGGAGCAAGGAAGAAATAAAGGCAATAGCAAGTGAAATAAAATCATGGACGGACAAGGCTCTTACTTCCTCTTCCTCACAAAGTATCCTTTTACATTGTATGTGCAATTTTGCTAACGACTATATAAATCCTTTTAGGCATTATGATATTCCTACTGATATGATTAGGTCTTTAGAATTCATAACAATATCAATCAAGTAAATTTGGTCATGTGAGTTAACAATGTATGGCGTGTATTAATATTGAGAGAAGTTACTCCTTTGACTGAGTTTAGATTATCAAGAAGCAATCTCTATGTATATGAAAATTGAGGAGCTCCAGAGGAAATTGTGCCATCAATTTTCAATCAGTTTGATGCAAACTCGAGAGAAGCTTTTAAAGGTACATTTTACGCTTGCTTTCTCCTTTTAACGTCTCTTTTTTTTCCCCCCTATTTTTCCTGGAGGGAAATACATGTGTTATTCCCATATGCTCTAAAAGAGTTCTTAAAGTACTGTTGGTAATAGAATTGTATTTTTCTTCAGTTGTTCATGGAGTTGCAGGATTGGAGGGAAGCACTGGCATATTGCAGACTGACCATTCCAGTATACGAAAGTATGTTGCATTTCAAGTCAAATCCATAATGAAAATGTGGAAAAAAAAAAAAAAAACCTACTTATTCTAAGTTGGTAGTCTAAAGTGGCTTGAAAAAAAAATGCTGGTAATTTAAGGAGGTAGTTCTTATCATTCCCAAGACAAAAATATAAGATTTGTGCTTGAGACATCCCAATTTACTCATGAAAATGCTGGTTTATTGATGAAATGTTTCTTAGACAACTCCTAATTCCAGCTTGAAATTGAACTGATATAACAAAGAGTAGTTTGTTTGTATCTCAAACTAGAAGATACTGCAAAGCTTTTCTTGATTGATTGTACATCTGGGATTGGCATATATTGACCTCATGAAGTAATAAATAGTGCACTTTTTACACTTGAACTATGCACTTTATGTTTTCACTTCGAATCTCGAGTTGATTGAATGTTACCAGGCTTATTGAATTTGATCCTTGTACTGCAGGAGTATATCCAGGATTTCATCCTTTGCTTGGCTTGCAATATTATACATGTGGGAAACTTGAATGGTTAGCATATATCTGCTCAAGTTCTATATTCCAGTTCCTTCCTCATATTTATTTCTCAGTTCTTAGGTGCTATGGTTAATTATGATGTCCATAATGATTTATGAGAGATCTAATCTTTCACTGCGTTTACAAGTATAACCTCAAATTCAAACCTATGCTTGAGAATCCAAACGAATTAATTTTCTTGTTATGTACCACAGTATATGCTGCTAAAGTGTTGTGTGCAAGACATTTATCTGCACCAATTTTTTCGATAAATTAAAATACTATTCTAAGCACTTCGTTTTTTTTTTCTTTTTTCTTTTTTTTTTCTTTTCTGTCTAAGAAGCTAAATCGTGACATTTGTGTTTGGGCATTATTGAAAGATAATATTTGGTTGTTCTTACAGGTTACTAGGGGACACAGAGAATGCTGTAAAATCTCTGACAAAGGCAGTTGATATACTCAGAATTACTCATGGAACCACAACACCTTTTATGAAGGAGCTCTTCATGAAATTGGATGAAGCTCGTGCTGAAGCATCTTATAAACTTTCATCGAAAGAAGACGAATGAAAATATCCGTTTCCGTTGCCTGCCTTTAATGGAATTTCCATTGAATTGGTAGACTCCATTACTCGTGGTTTCTTGCTTCAAAACTCCTAAGAACGTACGTCGGAGATTTTATTATTATTATTATTATTATTATTATTATTATTATTTTTCAGAACTCGTTGAGCATCCTGTCATAACCATAGTTAGATAGTTCCATCCATCTAATGGACTACCTGTTGCATAACCGGTTTTGTTAATGTAGCAAATATGAAACAACATCCTAGGAAACTCAGAATCGATTTTTTTTTTTTTTTTCAAGCAAGTTCCAAGTGTTTCAGAAACATCTTGAAACATTAGTAGGATTTGAATACCCTAATATTTTTGAACGAATTTTGGAGTTTGGAAAAAGCTTTGAGAAAAATTCTAAATTTGGGCTTGAAGCAAAAATTCTCACTTTGCTCCGGACAAGTTCTGTTGTGCATTTAAACTACTTGCCCATATATTTCATAGGTTTGAACAAAAATTCAATTTAAAAAAAAAATAATAGAAAAAAAAGGTTTGTGCGTTCAAGATAGTAAGTTTAACTTCAGCACTTTTAATGAAAGCACGTTTTAGTGTCTCTTGAAGCGATTAGAATGAAATCTAATTTAGGAAGGATTCGATACATAAGTTTTCACAACCCCAACATCAATAACTGTAAGAGTACCGTTAAGGGCATATATAGTTTACTTAACTCTAAAGCCGGTAGATAGGTTTTTTTTTTTTTTTTTTTTTTTTTTTTTTTGAAAGAAAAAAAAAAAAAAAAACAAATAAAATAAAAGCAGGCGAGTAGTTAACAGTTAATATAATCCACTAACCACTGTTTAGTATAGTCCACTGACCACTGTACATAAATTTAAAGAATATGTCTAGTTGATTATCATGCTGCAATAAAGCAACGTGTATCGAAAACAACACACCAAAAATGCCAGGGACAAAGGATGGTAATTACACGATTCAATTCCTCATGAACTTCAAGATAAAACAAGTTAAAAACAGCCGAGAAGGATATTACACATTACTACAAAATGATGGAAGCAAATCACCATAACCAAGAACGATTCTTGGAGAACCAAAGAACAACTCACAAAACTGAGGATGTTTTCGGAAGTGAGTCGCAGGTCGGTGCAGAATTTAAGTTGTTTGTTCTTTCGCCTATTCTTTCTCCGAGCTTGCTAATTGCCTTTCCAGCTGATAGAAAAGTTTTGATACATGGGAGAGCAACTTACGCTGTTGCTCGTGTGATGACAATAACTGAGAGGTTATTAGCGAGTCCGGGGCCTTAAGCAGTTCTTGTAGCTGAGAACATAGGTTTAAAGCTTCCGTGTCACATTTACAAGCATTGGAAATAAGCTGCAGCAGTCTACAACTTTGGTCTTGAGACGCAGATTGATGGAGCGGAATCGGAGGAACAAGAAAGGGATGCTGAAGCAACTGGGGAATCCTCCACCTTTCACTGCGGTCCCATGCGAGACACTTTTTCATGATATCAAGAAGCCAAGGATTCGAGACTGGTTCATACCTGATTTCATGGTTTGGATCTGTTATAACTTTGAACTTTGCCCAGAATGTTTTATAATCTGAAAAGGGCGTCCTCCCATAAACCATCTGATAAAGTATGCAACCAAGAGACCAAATGTCTGATGGTCGACCGCACTTGATAGGGTTTCCATTAGCATCATTTTCATTGCACATGAATGCTTCAGGAGACATGTAGCTCAATGTACCGACCTGCCAAAAGAAGGGGAAAAAAAAAAACGCTATTTATTAATCAAAAGTGTGCCAAACAATTACATTACACCATACAGGATTTTAGGTATGGCGAGTAACAAAATGTATCAGGTTAAAGAGGAGAATGTTTTCTAGCAGTAAGAGAATTATCAGCAGTGGTAATAGATATTATTAAAGACTCTGGTCAATTGAGCAAGGAGTAAATATAACAAGAAAATGACATAAATATATTATATATCGAATTACTTTAGTACCGCCCAGAAAAGCAGAGTGGATTTACAACCTCACACGAGTCAGATTTTTATTTTATACAAACGAAATCCAACATCAACGAACTAAAACAATCTGAGCAAGAAAAGAAACCAAGAATGTAACTACCAAAACCCATGGCCGAAAACTTTTAACTTCATATGAGAAATCAATTTTGATTACAAAGATAATGGGATAGATATCTAAACAACTCCAAAATTTTTAAATTGGCAAAGTTAACTCTTGCACCTTGATGACGTCAGTCACGATAAACACCATTCCAATTCCAAACGAACTGATATATACACTTAATGAGCAACCACAACAAATATAACGATTATACAAATAAGTGAAAAATTAATGAACTTTATTGCTAAATTTCGTTGACAATAGAAATTTAAGACATCGTCATTAAATTATGTGGTTACTCTTTATTCACAAGGACAATAATCTGAATCAGGTATTCTTCTACAGTATTTCCAGCTGACATAACACGGAAGTGGATGATTGCAAAGGGAGAATTACCTGTGAATCTCTTTGGATATTTGTAGTATCACTCATTATGGCTTTGGCTATTCCAAAATCAATCAACTTCAGGGAGCCTTTTACCAGGAGGAAATTGGCTGGCTTCAAGTCAGAGTGCACAATACGCTCCTCATGTATAGTGCTCACGGCTAGAAGAATTTGCTGCCAAAGGTTTTTTTTTTTTTTTTAAATGTTCCTTACAGTTTAAACAATCACCAAAAGGCAAAAGCTAGGCAAATTGTTGCCCCGCGTAAAAATTAATTTACCTAGTTTCTAGCCAAAAATTAAAACAATAATTTACTAAGTTATGCTGAGACAATCCAATTGCAAAGTACAACAGCAGACCAAATCTTATGTGAAGCATAATAGATGAATTCAACTGCTAAGGACACTCAAAAAGCTCACAGGAAGATTCAACACTGCAGTCCTTCAAATACTTGCAAAAAAATAACAAAAAAAAAAAAAAAGGGTAAAGGGCATTCAATGTAATACGTTCAACTCCAAAAAGATCCAAAGTTTGACCTATATATTGAACAAAGAGTACAAGCAAGAAATGACTGTCTTTGTACATACAAGAATGAGCAAATCGGCCATCATCTTAATAAGTATAAAAGAGAATAGAAATCCAGAAAATATTAGCGATAACCAACAAAGGGAGAGGGAAATTAACTAAGAACCTGCCAGTAGAATCGAAGCCAGTTGTCATCTATGGTCTGTTTGGAGCCATCAATTTCCTTCCACCTCTGGCAAAGCATGTGAGCCAAATCAATTTCTCCGTACTCAAGGACCATGTATATATGTCCATCATCCTTGACTCTACCATCTTTGTTACTCATGGAACCATTCATGACTTCCCGGAGCAGAGCGCTATCTGTCACCTACAAACAAAGAGCAGGCAAAATATTCCCTTTTAATATTAAAAAGAAAATTGAGATAAACGCAGGTAAAAGAGCGTTACAATAGTGTGAAATTTTAACATTTTGTTAAGACCATTTGGTAAAATATTACTAGAGCCAACATCAAAAAAGAAAGAAAAACAGAGAAGTAATTCAGAAATTTTAAGACTTTTTACGTCTTATTTTTTTTCTTGTCATAAACGCATTCACACTTTGTTGTAACTCTAACGATAGTACGTATCACCAAAAAGGAAAAATAATATAAATACAAATATACACACACACACATATCTTCTTGAGTACTACAGTTAAAGAAAAGCGGAGAACTCGTCATGTTAAAGGTAAAAAATAAAAATAAAAGTTAATTGTTTTCTCTTCCCCAATACAATGAAAGGCTAGTAGTCTTCACTTCGCTCAGCTCCTGCCAAGTCATTACTCATCAGTTTCATGAATCTATGCAAAAGATCACATATAGACCAACTTAGACCACTGCTTGGTCGTGTCAAGGTATCTCATAAAATATCCCTGATCCAATTGCTATTACCCTGGCTGCTTTCTACCACCTGAAAATCAGGATTTTACAAGGAACGTATTATGTGGAACTTAATTCCATTTCAGCTGACTTCTTCTATTTGGCTGTTTTCTCTGTTGCATTTTCTTAGGCATGGATGCAAGTATATATGCACAAAAAGGAGAAACTATGTAACAGTAATATAAGGACCTTCAAGGACTAACATTATCAATTGATGGTTCAAAGCGAGTGTACCTCGTAGTCTATTAGCTGTATAATATTGTGCTTTCCTTTCAGTCTATTTAAATACTCAATTTCCTGACAAAACCCATAAGCAGTGGCATAATCACGTCCTCTGAGCTTGATCTTTTTTAGAGCATATATTGTGCAATCTGATGAGATGACTTTGTGGACCTCACTGCTTCCACCGCTACCAATCTTGCCAAGCCTTTGATAGAGCTTCCCATTAACTTTAAAAAACAAGTCGGGGTCATAACTTCTTTTGCGAGGGACTGATGCACCTTTACCACTCACCGTCTTATCCTGTTTGTCTAACTTAGAAGGCTCATCCTTCATATCAGAAGAGATACCTTTGGATGAAGGAACCTGAGATTGAATATTGATGACATCAGCTGCTAATCGCTTCCCTTGAGCTGCCCTATCATCAAGAAGAGAAGGATCTCCAACAAAGCCACTTTCCTTGAGCATGCAGCCTTGTTGCACTTTAGAAATTTCATATTCCTTAACTTCCATTTGGCCATCTACTACAGAGGTAGAAGATTGTTGTGCAACAGCAATCTGATTGCTTAACATTCCACTAGTATCTTTTAAAGACGGATTTAATTGCTGCATTATCTTCCCTTGTTTTTTAGGTTGAGCATTTACACTTGGATCACTTGCAGGTTCCATTGTCACATTAGAATTGCTATGCAGTCGAGAGCAAAAAGTTGTCTGATTAAGCATTGGCGCTGAAGTTGAATGGACAGATGTTGTTGTAGCACATGATGGCCCAGCAACTGAAGATTGAGTGATAGGCTGGCTTAAGAAGTTTTTGAAATGGTGCAACTGATCCTGCACAGCATTTGTTCTCTTTGCCAACGAAGAAGAAACCCCACCATCAGATCTCGAAGTGATATCACATTCTGCGCTCTGAATATTCTGACGCTTCATCTCATGATTGATAACAGTTGATGCCTCTCCTTGATTGCTTGTAACCCGTTCCATTTCTGTCAATGCAAGTGAACTCATATGAGATGATAAGTTCTCCAATCCAGTGGCCATAATAAGATCATCGGCCCCTGCATGTAGAAAGAAGAAGGAAAGTATACAAAGAGCACAGCGACAAGTAAGGAGTTCTACGAAAGGTTAACAATCATTCTTAATGTCGGAAAATGACACATAACTTACCCTTAAGATCTGCTTGAAAAAAAAGGAAGCAAATTCTTCAAATAAACCAATTCGAAACAATTAAGTAGCTATTACCCTGGGAAATGGCTTCGCTTGCAACTGAAAATTGAACTTTTTTCTGGCCATCAACGAGTTGAGATTGCGGGTTGTTTTCTGGACCAGTGATAGGCTTGGCTTGATCTCTCTGTGCATCAAATGGGTTTAAGCTTTCATCAAAGGCTTCTGTAATAGTGCCCGAAATGGAAGGCAGTGTAATTGATGCGTCTTCTTGAGTTTCTTTGACAGCAGCAGGCCCTCCCTTTATCTGCTTGATTGAATCTTTGACTGTATTACCCTGACTAACTGCAACAACTTCTCGAGACCTGTTGGTGTCTTCAAGAGAACCCACATTCGACTTCGAACTTTTTGATACTCTCCTCTGGGGAACTAAAGTACGCCTAGGCCCTATGCTATTTGACTGCATTACGCCTATGAATTCCTCGACACAACCATGAAAAAGAGTTTGTTTGAACATTGAGCTTTAAAAAAATAAAAATATAAGCTAAAAGGTAATTTTCAAAATGATATTAGTTGTACAAGCATTTGACAGATGTTAAATGGACACAATGAATCAATCCAAACTACCATATAAAATTCAGTCAATTGCACAATTAAACAAAAGTTCAACTTCCGAACAGATCATAAACTGAAACAAACTATAAAACCAGAAACCATAACATTTCCCAAAAAAAAAAAAAAAAAGGTAACGCAAAGTTGAGCAAACTACAATAAGAAAACCCTAAATTTAAGCTCAAAACAATCCAGAACCCGAACCAAAACACGGAGCCCTAATAATCAAAATTCCTCTGAGGAATGAAACCAGATAGAGAGATAGAGAGAGAGAGAGAAATTGAGGGAGTTACCGAGAGAGCGATGTCGCTTGAAGGCGGCCTGAACATGATGGAGGAAGTCGGGCGGCGAGGAGGAGGAAGAGAGCGACGAAGACGAAGTATAATTGGGGTTGAGATTCGTCGGCGGAAGGTTAACCTCCCTGTCCATGGCCGGATCTCAGCGGCATGTCTGAGTCTGAGTGTGAGCAGAGAGAGAAAAGAGATTGCGCATTTAAGGTTTGATGAAGATTTCTTCTTCCGCCATGGGAGGAGAGGGAAAAGCTTGTGTCTGCGAAGAGTGTATGAATTGAAAGTGAATCGGAATTGGTATTACTCTTCTCTTCTCTTCTCTTCTCTCTCTTACTCTTCTCAGTGCTCTCACAGCCACTGTCAAAGAAAGTGTCTGATTGGATTGGAGAGAGAGGGAAAGTTTTGTTTTTGAAACCTGGCCTATTTGGCGCTCCTGGTTGGAGAAGAGTCTTTCCTCAGGCTTTTTTAGATGGGCCTCATTGGAATTTGTGGTTCTGGGCTCTTTGGGCCTTGGTTTAAGGTGTCGAAGGATCTTGCCCGTTTTTGCCTTGGTCATCTTACTGTAAATTAGGCCCAATATCACTTACGACCTCAGCTTTTACCCCGTGCTGCTGTTTTTTTTTGGGGAAATCGACTTGTGTCCCCTTATTTTTGACCCATTTTATATCCCTCTATTAATATTGTGATAATTGAAATACCATGTAAATGAAAATTTCTATCACATTGATTATAAAATCATGACAGTTAAAATAATTTAATTGGCGTGGCATGATCTATTTAGGTGGACATAAAACATGATACAAATAAAATAATATATTAGCTCAATCTATAAGTAGTTTGAAAAATAACATTTTCACATGATATAAATTTGTCAAGTTATGGTTCATAGTCAGACAAATTATGGACAATTATGGACAATAACTTGTCAAGTTATGGTTCATAACCATGCAAGTTATGGACGAAAACAGTAATTTGACATATTTATTAATTTATGTAAACTATTGGCCTATTAATTTTAATTCATCTCAAGTCTTTGCCTATTTTCCTCTTTCTCTCTTTATATTTTATACTACAAGAAAGTTTGAAAGCAAATTAAAAGAAGATTATCTTTCTTTTTCTTTTCCCCTCATATAAAATGCCATTTTGCAGATCTTTCTATAGAAATAGTACAAAAAATAGTAAAGGGAGAAAGAGGGAAATAGGCCAAGACTTTAGATGAATTAAAATTAATAGGCCAATAGTTTACATAAGTTAATAAATAGACCAAATTATTATTTTCGTCCAGTTGTCTGGTTATGAACCATGACTTGGCAAGTTATTATCCATAAATCACAGTTTTTGTTGGTTATGAACCATAACTTGACAAGTTTATCCATAATTTATCTGGTTATGAACTATAACTTAACAAGTTATGACCTATTAATTTTTATAACTAAAAGTTGAACTATGTACTTTCTTAAACTTTTCATATTGCCTATTTTCTATTTTTTCCGAATAGTAAAGTGGTCAATTCGAGCCACCAGCCCAACCCTTATGAGCATATATGGCTGACCCAGTATAGCCCAGAAGCCCGTATGGGCTGGGCCGAGTCATTCTTTACTTTTATATGAAAAAATTAAAGAGAGAAAATTAGATCTATGTCATTTTAAATAATTAATGATCATTATGTCATTTTATTTTTCCTTATTAATTAAATGACAATTATTTATTCCCTCATGCCACAATGACCTCTTAGAGAAGATCTCCACATCTCCCTCACGGTGGCCACGCAAAGAAATTTCCACCACGTCAGAGGCATCTTTCTTGCATGGAGTGATCAATGACCACCGATTCTTTTCCTTTTTTTGGTAGTTTTTATTTTGTTATATTTTTGTTATTTTTGCGGTAAAAGAAGATAAGTATTCTTTAAAATGTACAAGTTTTAGATTTTCACATCTTACTCTTAATTAATAATCTTTAGTTAAAGAACTATATTAACTAAAATAGATCAAGAATAAAAAATAAAAATCTTAGAACAATACATTTAAACGGTGAGTTTATCAATTTTCTCTTTTTTTGCAGGCTTTTTTTTTATTTGTATTTTTGTTATTTATGTGGGTTTCTTGTGAGTTTTTTAAGTATTTCACTCATAAAACTATATGGTTGGCAACCCCGATATAGACAGTGTCCAATTAACGACTGTTTTTACTTCAAGCTAACACCTCATTAGTTTCGTGGAATATAAAAATGGAAAAGGACCATCTCATTAGCTCCTTGTAATTTCAAAAGAATTATTGTACTAAAGAGTTAGTGAACGTTTAGATCATGAATTTAGAACTATAATTTAGAATTATTCTCGTTTTATCATTTATGTATGTTTTTGTGAGAGAAAAATACTGTAAAGAAGTATGAATCATAATTCAAAATCAGAGACAAATACACGAAACAAACATCCCCTTATTCATAATTAATACTCTTTTGAGTTTTAACTAATATAGTATTTAACTAACAAAATATTAATTAAAAATAAAAATTTAAATGTATACACTCTAAAAAAATATTTGTCTCGTTTTATTTTCTATTTCTATTTGTTAGCCCAAGTAAAGAGCTCTAACGGGTAATACCAGGTACAATACGACGTCTCTACTAGTCAAATTCATTTATTTTTGGCTAAAAGCACCATCCAAATCCATAATAGAGACTAGAGAGATAAATAACTATTGTTCGCAAACTTCTTGTTTAAATCAGGCGACTTTATGATTTGGTGGTTTAATACCATGAAACATGTTTTAAACAACACTGTTGTGCATGCTTCGTACAAGCCACTTGATTTAAATCACGCGATTAAGATTAATAATAAAATCCATATGTAGGGTGCTCCCATTTAAATTTCAAATTCTTATATTTTTACACATAAAACCAGTAATTACTGTTCGAGTAAAAAAAATATGTAGTCACTGTACTGCTAGAAGATTCCCTACCTCTAAAGCATATATAATAAAAGCCCAACTTGAATAAAGCACAAATTTACTACTGTGTTTCAGTAATCAAGAGGAGCTCCAAGTTTGAATTTTATTGCATTTTTAATGGAAAAAAATAACAAAAAGAAAAAGAAAAGAATTGGTGGCTCTGTGTTCTCAAGGCCCATACTTTATAATTTATTATACCAAACAACAGTTTAGTAGATAAATAATGCTCCGTTCATTTTACCGATTTGAATTTAAAATTTAAGTTTTATTACAGTAAAAAACTATCAGAAAGTCACATTTAATTTTTTTATTACTAAAAAAAACTCTCACATAAATTCACATCTCAACTCAAATTAAAAATTTAAATCAGCGAACTAAACGGGTCTTTAAGAAGATTAATTTTGACAACTTAATTGGCATAAATCTGTTTTTTTTTTTTTGTGCTAATTAAAGTAGACGACTTTATTCCATAACATATGGTCTCGCATGATTTTGAGGCAAAAGGAATCAGAGAAACAGCTTTTCCCCATAATAAGAGGTTCCATTATTGTGTAATTAGTGAGTATGCCTTAATGTTGGTGCAATGTGCTTAGCCCCATAAACTGCACCTTGGGCTTGGGATTTTATAGTCTTGAATGATACAAAGCTTACCATAACTTCTTGTTGGCAACAATTTTTATGAAAAAAATATTCTTGTGCTTATTTATTTATTTGTCATAACTAATACGTGTATCCTTTTATGGACAAAATTGGTATTACTTCCATTGGGGGAAAAAATGGTCTACCATTAAACGGTCAATATTATTGCTATATTTGACATTAAAAGGTATAAAAATGACCAATTTAATACGTTATTATTATTTTTTTGTGTTTTAACGCAGAATGTCATTTTAAATATTATATTTACCTTTTGTCTTAATTGTTAAATTCTGAAACTCATAAAAATAATATTTTAATTTTAAAATAACTTGAAAATGATAACGTTATAATGATTAAATGAAAAGATCAATATTGTAATCAAAATTAAATGATAAAATTTAGCATGTGTATATATATTTGGTATCAAATTTAGAGTAAAAACAAAAGGAGAAAAATAATAATATTATAATGCACAGTAGTTTTCTTCAAATATTAGATTTAACAGTTATGTAGTATTGCATTGGACATGATATCTCTGGAACTGTTGCAAATATGGTAACGTATTGATGCTTGAGAGCGTTTAACATGCATATTAGAAAAAAAAAAAAAAAAAAAAAAAAAAAGTGGTAATGTACACGTGTTTCAACTTATGATTCCAAGATGTGCGAGCTTCGATTTCAAAAACCGTAAGAACATTTTATGAAAGAAAAAAAAAAAAAAAAAAAAAAAAAAAATCTCGAATCATGACTTTTTTTTTTTTTTTTTTGGCTAAAGACGTAATAGTAGAAAGATCTTTAAATAATGTATATAGGGCATGTACACCTCAGGTGATGTGAGACTCAAGCTGAATCATCACAAAAGAGTTAATTGACTGTCAAGTGTCAACATCTTGAAAGAAGCTCTTCAAAAAACACAAACACATGCCTAGATTACGTTCATGATACGTATGGTTAAACCATTTGCTATTTTTCTGTTTATTTCAACGATTTAAATTTAAAATTTAAATTTTTTTATAATTAAAATTTTTAAAAATAATCACATTTAATATTTTTACTATAATAAAAAAATTTTACATAAAATTACATCTCAATTTAAATTAAAAATTCGAATCAGTTAATTAAACAGGCCCTTAAACTCTAAGAATTCGTTTAGTTCGCTGATTTAAATTTTTAATTTAAGTTGAGATGTGATTTTATGTGATGAGTTTTTATTGTAATAAAAAAGTTAAATGTGACTGTTTCTGAGAGCTTTTTATTATAACAAAACTCGAATCGGTTAAATGAACGTGGCCTAAATTATGATAAAAAACCATGTATTTTAGTGCATATATAACAATATTGTTTCTATAATTGAAAAATGCCAAGGAACCATACTAGTATTAGATACCACGAATCAAAACTTCTAAATCTTGTTTATCATATGAATGGACCCCATTTGTTGCATGGCATGGTGTGACTTCTTAATTTACCCCATTAAAGTAGTGCTAGGCATTGTTACTAATATATTATCTAAGAGAAGTATTGTTACTAATCCTGTTTAGGGTTGTTTTTATGGATTTGCCTAAATTTTATCTTTTATCTTTATTCTCTCCTTTGTACGGATATGGTCGTTATGTTATTTTTAATTAAAGACGCTAGACAAACAAGAAAGTGAGGAGGAGCTAGGGTGAAGTATTATTTGAATTAAGGACCTCCGGCATTTTTATATTTGCCTTTTCATTTTGCACTAATAGAAAGAACTTTTATTTATTTATTTATTTTGAAACCAATACAAAGAACGTAGAACCCATAATTAGTTTTTTTTTTTTTTTTTTTTTTTTTTTGGGGGCCTATAATTTGGTTATTTCTCTTTTTTAAAGTGGGTTTAATTTTTTTTTTTTTTTTTTTTTTTTTTTTTGGAGGACCTATAATTGGTTACTTCTGCTATGTACAGTAGTACAATATTGAGACATTAAAATATTACATACGAAAAATAGAAAAAAACATCATATGAATTATGATGATGTAATTTATGGGACATTAAAGTTAGTATTGTCTATAGTTTGTTAAAATGTGGGGGCCACTTATTATTATTATTATTTTCTCTCTGTAGCCCAATCCAAGTAGGAGTATTTTTTTTTATTTTTTATATACAAATAAATAAACATATAGTCTTGAACCTAGCAGTTAAATTTAGGATATATGTCAAACACTTGTACAAATCAAATCACTTACCCATAACCCTAACTCATAAATCACTCTCTACAAAAAGCCATAAAAATCTCCTCTTGCAAAACTTGCTCTTGGAACACCCATTTGAGAATCTCAAAATGTAAGCCAAAAACCACCATTTTCATAGCCAGAAAGCTAGAAAATCCAAACCCCATCAAAAATGCCTTCAACAATGGCTAAACCAAGAAACCAAAACAAACCCACCAAGAAGATCAACCAAAGCCACAAACTTGAGCCCCAAAAGGCAGAAAAGCCCCCATCTTGGGCAGTTGTGAGAGGCCTTTTAACCTGCAAACATTCTTCTCAAACACAACAACAGCAAAATGAAGACCAAAACCAAAAGCAAAAACACAAGGTGCAACAAAAGCAAGAGCAAGTTTTGGATGAAACTGCAAAGATTAAAGTCAAGAAAATGAAGTGCTCAGGCTCACTTTGCAGCAACACAAAGGTCATGCACAGGCCGGAAACAGGCTCGCCGGAAGTCCACAAGAAACGGGCTATTTCCGCTTCTTCTTCGTCATCTTCTTCTTCAACTACCAACAATGAAACTGGCTCAAACAGATCCATAAAAGCCCCACTAAATGAGCTAAATGGAGTGGTTTCTACTTCCACTTCTTCTTCTTCTTCATTTTCTGTGTCTTCTTCCACAAGTGGGTCTTTTAGAGGAATGCCTTTTAGGAGATTCTCTGGGTGCTATGAGTGCAGAATGGTGGTTGATCCTGTTCTTGGAATAGCCAGAGACCCTTCTTTAAGAGGCAGCATTTGTTCTTGTCCTGAGTGTGGTGAGATTTTCATGAAACCTGAAAATCTTGAGCTTCATCAGGTTGTTAAGCATGCAGGTATTTTTATAATCTTTTATCTCTCTCTTAACCTTTGATTTTCCATACCTATTAATTCCATATATGCGCGCGCGCGCGCGCGCGCACACACACACACACACACATATATATATATTTGTCATTTTTTTGTTCCTTTTTCTGCTAATTGTTTTCATCTAGGAACTCTGCTTCCTCCTCTGTTTTCAGCATACCCGTTTTGTCAATTCCCTTTTCTTTTCCTTTCTCTTCAAGTTAAGAATGTGAACTTTTAAAAAAAAAAAAAAATCCAAACTAGCTTAGAAATAATGTCTAGGAAAAGCCTGAGTGTGAAATTCTAAGACAACTGTATTCTGCAAGAAATCTTACTTACTAGTAACTAAAATTGTTTTAACTATGTTTTTTTTCCTTATCTAGTTTCTTGTCATCATAACAAATCCAATATATATTATGTTGAGATTTTAGCAATAGAGAAAGAAGATGGTATATTTTTATTATATTTTGAACCGTCAAATCTTTTCTACTTTTTCTCATTTTGACGTGATTTTTATCAAATCTAACCTTTAGAAACATTAGATCATCGTAAATGTATACTATATTATAAAAGCCTCCTTATGAATATTCTATCGAAAAAAAAAGTTTACTGATTTCATATTGTATTTCTCAAAAAACTGTTGTTGATAGTGTCGGAGCTAGGTCCAGAGGACACAAGCAAGAACATAGTGGAGATAATCTTCCAATCAAGCTGGCTGAAGAAGCAAGCCCCAGTCTGCAAAATCGACAGAATCCTCAAAGTCCACAACACCCAGAAAACCATCACCAAGTTCGAGGAATACCGCGACGCCATTAAAGCTAAAGCCACCAAGCTCCCCAAGAAGAACCCCCGCTGCGTCGCCGACGGCAACGAGCTCCTCCGCTTCCACTGCGCTACCCTCCGCTGCTCCCTCGGCCTCAAGGGCTCCTCCAATCTCTGCAACTCCGGTCCGACGTGCAACATCTGCAGCATTATCAAGAACGGATTCCGGGTCGCCGGAGAGCCCACCGGCGGCGGAATTCTGACGACGGCGACAAGCGGGAAGGCACACGATGGTGTCGGTGGTGCCGGAGAAGACGAGGCGAGGGCGATGCTGGTGTGCCGGGTGATCGCCGGGAGAGTGAAGAAGAGCATGGAGGGGGCTTTGGAGGAGTATGATTCTGTGGCTGGGGCTGTTGGGGTTTATTCTAATTTGGATGAGTTGTATGTGTTTAATGCTAGGGCTATTTTGCCTTGTTTTGTTGTTATCTATAGAGGTTTTTAGTTACTTGTTATTTTTGTAAAATTTAACACTTGTTGGTAAGTGTAAGAATTATTAATGTTGGTTTATTACTTTGATCTTACTCATTTTTCTAGTTTGAGTTTTTGTTCTGATTAAATTTGTGAAAATTGTCATGTATAGTGATGATCTGCATCGGGATTATGAGGTTAGAAACCTTGTTAATATAGAACTCACTTTTGCAAAACCAACCATCCACCACGTTTGTGTGCAAATATCAACACTAACCCAACAATAGCTCTTTCATCTTTGACAGCTTCACTCGACTATTAGAGTTTGAGTGATACCAATTGTTAGTAACCCATTAGATAGAATTTTTCCTTCTATATTCAGCCCGTTCATTTCACCGATTTGAGTATAGAATTCGAGTTTTACTACAGTAAAAAACTCTCAGAAATAGTCACATCTAACTTTTTTACTACAGTAAAAAGCTCTCATATAAAATCACATCTCAGTTCGAATTAAAAACTTAGAATCAACAAACTAAACATGCCCTCAACTTGTAAGGAGAACCAAGGACTTATAATCTTATTATCCTATATTTAATGCATGTATAACTTCGTTATGTAAATGATACGCAGACATATATACATATATTTCTAAATATTTATAAGTATTAAAATTGAATTCTAAATATTAAAATATATAAATCTATAATATTAGAAAATAAACTATAAACTAAATAATAGAAATAATATTTAGAAATCAAAATAAAATTCAAATAAATAAGTTATTTTTAAATCTGCATCTTCAAGTAACCTGCTAGTGATTAAAGCCTGTTTGGCTTATTGCGCGTGGTGGTACAGGGCGAGAGTTGACTTCTCAATCCCCGTTGAGAGTTTCCTTGATCCTCCGGCCGTGTGTTTTAGGCCGGATCGGAAAGACCAATTATCAAAGTTTCATAAATATGGTCTGATGTCCCGGTGCTATGACCTCGTCCGAAAAAAAAATTATAAAATTAAATTAAAACTTATTACGAGATAAAAAATTGAGATGGAAGTGATTATTTAGCTCTATAAACTGCATAACATTTTGACAAAATAGAATTCACCTTAATGTGTATAATGTATCATTACTAATTGACAGAATAAAATTCCCACCCCATTTTGATAGAAAGGAGAATTGGATTCCATAATAAGTGATCTTTGCTAACTGAACCAATGACAATTTTGATCATGTTGTTTTGTTTTTATGTAATGATGTTGTTTTGTTTATATAAAAGGTGACAATGTTCTTTTGTATGTATAGATGATGATGATGATGATTCTTGGGGGACTGGCTATAATGATCTACATGATGTTTCTTGCTGGCTTATTTGTCTCTATGATGTTGAATTCTGTATAAATTTTTCTCGTGTTGCTCCTTTTTTGTGAATTCCATTAAGGTCAACGGGGGAAACCATAAATTTTTGAGTGATTCTTGTTCTTGGGGTTAAATTTCTTAGCTGGCTCGCCCAAAACTACATGACAAACAGAGTTATATATATATATATATATGTATGTATATTTTTCATTATAGAAACTAATATAGAAGGCTGTATGCATGGGCATTATTGATGATGACGATGCAAAAGCCTTAAATGCACGTTGGGGTTGGGAAATTGTGTTTCCTAGAAACTAGGGACCTGTTTTCTTTTTATTTTTTCCTACTTTTTTTTTTTTTTAAGCTTTAGAGAAGGAAAAGAAAAGGAAAGAGAAAAAAAAAAGGTACTATAACAATATTTATATTCTTCTGGTCATAATTTGTAACAGAATAATTAATACATGCATTCTATGCAATCATAATCATACAATCATAGCATGATAAAAAAAAAAAATCATACAATCATGTGATCATTATTTAGAGTAAGACTGTAAAACAACTGATAGTTTTAAGCGGGGAAAGTTACGAGCTAATTTGTGGCTTCTTGTTTCTCAATATTGGATTATACGTTTTTTGTCTTCACATTCCTGACTTATGTGACAATGTGTACTTTTAAACTCCGTTCATTTCGCCGATTCGATTCGAGTTTAGAATTCAAGTTTTGTTACAGTAAAAAGCTCTCAGAAACAGTCACATTTATTTATTTTTAAGCTCTCACATAAAATCACATCTCAACTCGAATTACAAACTCAAATCAACGAAGTGAACGGGAAGTACACATTGTCACATAAGTCAGGGATGTGAAGACAAAAAACGTATAATCCAATATTGAGAAACAAGAAGCCATAAATATCACCAAAAACTTGCACGGTATAATTAAAAATAAGAAAGTTCTCAACATTGTTTAGTACAAAACAGAAGGAAATCGACAATTGAGCTTTGAGACGAAATATATATAATGTGATGAACATCGATTAAATAAGTGTTATAAGCAAAGCATTTTTGGTTTTGGAGGTTTTAGAAAAATTGTTTATTTATGTTGACCCAGTTCCACAAGACGAGAGTTAGGAGACTTCATTTGTGGGGTGATAACATTTGAGTTGGCAATTCTGATTCATAGAATCTGCTAGTAGTTGTTAAACTTTTGTCCTTTTGAAGGGCTCTATAATTTGTTTGTTGATCAATCATTTCTCATGGTGTAATATATAATGGAATTTTTTGTTTGTTTGTTAATATAATAGATGGAATTATTTGCAGGGATTGTGGAGAAAAGCGAGATAATAAAGGCATTTTGGTCCCGTTCTTTTCGTTGATTTGAGTTTAAAATTTGAGTTTTTTTATAGTAAAAAGTTCTCAGAAACAGTCACATCTAACTTTTTTGCTACAATAAAAAGCTTTCACACAACATCACATCTCAATTCGAATTAAAAACTCGAATTAATGAACCAAACGGGTATGAGCTTTCTCTCTCTCTCTCTCTCTACTTTTTTTTTTCCTTTATCTTTTTCCCTTCTTTCAACACACTGCTACTTTTTATCCAAAACCTATGTCTATTCTTTTCAGCAAGAAAGAATCTATTCTTTCCTTAACAAACTTACCATGAAAATGAGAATTATAGAACGGGGTGTGAAAAAAATGCCTATGGAAAGGACTCAATTTTGAACCAACATATCCTTATTAAATTATGTCACTTTTTTATTTTTCTTTTTTCTTTTGATAATGATGTGATTTGATCAAATTAACGTTCAACTTAGTAGGTATAACCTACAAAACTCCAAAAAAATAACAAAAAATGTGTAAAACATCTATGTATAGTAAATGTTTCATAATATAAACTTGTTTGACTTTTCATGAAAAGTTGGACCTCTCAAAGGATTGAAAGAATTTATAGTCAAAATTATAAAATATGTCCCCTCATGATGAAATATGCTATCATGAGAAGACTTTAAAATTTGTCACCTAACCTAATAAGATTATATAAACTTTGATCTAATACTTTTATCCTTTAGAAATTTTAAGCATCGTTTTTGTCTCATTAACTTTTTCAAAAATGTGTTTCCAAATATGACCTCAGAAATCATGTTTCCTCTACTGTAAAATCAATGTCAAAACAGACTATAATGTCGACTAGTAATAAAAGGTGAACTATCAATTATTTGTTTTAGCCACAAAAAATAAAAAAGTGTAATTTTTGTGTTTCTACTTTATAACTATATTGTTTTCATAAATTTCATTTGTCAAGGCTCTCTAAACGTTTAAAATTATAGCTATATTTATTTTCAGCAAAAAATGACTATTTATTTACATTATTATAAGTTGAACCATAGAAACACCCCAGAATCCAAAAGGACGTGCACTTTCTTCTTGGTTGGTTACTTGTTGCACAATGATCCAATCAAGTTACAAATTAAAAAAAAAAAAAAAGAGAATATCCAACATTCTCCGATTTAAACTCATATTTCATTAACATCTAAATCCGTATAAAACTCGCTTGCTCTAACACCATAAATTGAAAATATTCTTTATTTACTTATAAATATTTTTAATACGGTGTGAGACCTACGACTCTTATTTTATTAACAAAAAATGAAACTGTCATGATTAGAATTCTGACAGACACACTCACGCATCAATCACCTAAGCCAAATATTCTTTATTAAGAGCTTAAACTCAAAAAAAAAGAAAAGTTTATGAAGCTTTGGATGACAATACTAGTTAACATGAGCCACGATTGTAAACTGTTTTCTTTGACCGTTAAACATGGTAATAGAAGACTATGTCGTTTCGTTTACAATACATGAAAAATATTGTTAGGACTGTGGGGACATATATAGCAACAACCAAGTCATTCTTGTCGTTCATATTAATTAAATGTGCTCACTGCCTTGTGTCTGGGTACAAATCCATTATCCACCACCATCCTTGTTTTAATAGCTAGTTTTTGACTCTTGTTTTGTACTCATTGTCTAATAATTTCATACTTTTTTCTTGATTCCTGATATCATAAAAAAATAGGTCTTGCAACTTAGAGTATGTTTGGTAGGAAAGAAAAGTAGAAGGAAAAAAGAAGGTGGAGGGATTTTAGGAGGGAAAATAAAAATGTAAGTTGTTTGGTAAGAGAGAAAATGGAGTGGAAAATAATATATGTGGGCCTCACCATTTTTTTTTCTTTCCACAAGTGGGCAGAAAATGGGATGGAAAATAGTGGTAGCTCATTAAAGTGAGCAAAGTTACTAAACTACCATTTTCTCTATCAACATCCAAGCAAAAAATTTAAGGGTATAAAAGTAATTTACGAGTAAGATTTTTTCTTTCCTCTCAATTTAACTTCTAATACCAAACAAGTGAAGGTAAACTCATTTTCTTTCTATCTTCTCATACCAAACAACATAAAAGAAAATCAATTTCCTTTCTATCATTGCTATTTTCCATCACTTTCATATTTTCTTTCTATCCTATTTTCTTTCCTTCCTACCAAACATAGCATTAGTATGGGCTTCTCTCTGAGCCGCACTATAACCTCATTGTCATACTATTTATATAGAATATGACATATAGTAAGTATAAACAACATTAAACCAAAAAACAAACAAAACTAGTGGAAAACCCAGAAGAGACAAAACTAGGTTAGTTAAATCACTTAGGGGACGTTTGGAAGAAGGATTCGTATCATGATTCGAATTATAGTTCGTGACTCGTTACAGTATTTTCTCTCATAAAAAACACACATAAAATGAGAATAATTTTAAATTATGATTTTAAATTCATAAACCAAAGTCTCTTAAATCCTTTCCACTTGGACAGTAAAATGCAAGAGTTAAATTTTGGCGCCAAAGAAAAAACCCAAAATCTCAAAATTTCCATTTTTACCCTTGTAATTTGTGCAGCAACAGCTTCTCTTTTACACTGCCGCTTTGGGTTGTGAGTAGTCATAGAAAGCAGTAATAAAAAGGCAAAGGGAATAAAACCAGTACAATTTACAAAACATGCTTGACATAAAAAAGCAAAAGCTTCTTCTTAGTCAGCGAGAGCCAAGGAGAAGGTTTCATAATTGATTGAGAGGACAGACAGAATAGAAGAGTGATGTGGAAATGATTGAAGAAGAAAGCAACGTGGCATGGCAGGCCCAGCTGCTAAAACGACAAACGCGGTGGTGACTGACTAGTGACTAGTGAAGTGAGTTCAGATCACCGTCAAGGTTTATCAATCAATTTAAAAAGTTGAAAGATCATAATTTAATTATAATTTATAATTTATTATAATATTTTTTTTTATAAAAAATACACGTAAATAAAAAAATATTTTAATTTTATAATTTTAATCCATTAACTAAACGTCTTTTAAATTATTAAGAGATGTGTTAATAATAATTTTATATTTTAATACTTTTTTTATGTATGGGTTAAACAATAGATAATTGTGTAAATAAATTAATTAAAAAATATAATATGTGAATATTTAAATTTGAGATATATTAAAGACGCAATACATAATAACAATTTAAATAAAAATAAAGAGTACAATTACAGAAATTTAAATTTAAAACCTCTCATTTTAATATTATATTAATTTATCAATTCATCTTTAAAATCTCTTACTCTATTATTATATTAATTTATTAATTCATCTTAAAAACTTAAAGTGTTAAGAGATAGTTAACAATAGCTTTATATTTTAACTTCACCAACACTGACAATAGGGCTAGATATGTCTAAAACCTTGGTGGAACCCACCCATGTTCCTAATGTTAAATTCTCTCTTTTTTTTTTGTTTTTTTTGGTTTGTTGGGTGAGGATCAAGTGTGTACTGGACCAAGGGTAGTTACCTGGAGTGGTCCATCTTATCTTGTTTCTTTCACTTCGCTTGTGATAGAATTGGGATCATAAGAATGATTAATGAATGGTGCAAAACCCTGTTGTGCTCTTTTTTTTTTTTTTTTTTTTTTTTTTTTTTTTTTTTTTTTTGAAACTCTATAAAAATTTTATGAAATAATATGTGTTTCTAAATATTAGATCTACTCAAAATTACATTAATAAATAAATGTAACTTCTTTAAAAAAAGTTAATATTAATCTCTAAAAATAATGTCAAACGGGCCTTTAATATTTTTGTACTCTATTACGGAATTCTTATACCACTATCAAATACAATATTTTTTGTTTAAATTTTTAAGGAAAAGCAAAATTACTTTGTAATTATTTTGGTGCTTTTAATTTTTACTATTTGTAAAATATTTTAAATTTTTTCTTATATATCAAGATAAATAGTAAGATTATGTTATATATCTAATCTAAATAAGAATAAAAAAAAAGGTGAATTCACTATGCAAAAGTGACTTTCGTGAGCTGAAATGAAATAAACAATTGATTTACTATAGGAATGTAGGTAGACAATGTGAAAGTCTCCTGTTAGACCACAAGCAAGATTTGCAAAGTGATAAGAGATCACTGATCAGCTCAAATTGTCACGTGAATTACCAATTCAAGAGTGTTTAAAGGAACAAGATTAGCAAACATAATGACTAATACCTTTTAAAAAAAAAATGACTAATAGTACTACTGATAAATTGCAACAGAAATAGTTTTCAACGACAGCTGGATTAAGAATATTTAACATAATAAAAGTTCACTTGGTTTCTAATACATTGTTGAAACAAAAACTTTTTTTTTTTTCCAAAAAAACAAAAAAACATCACTACGACTATGGCCGTCTATGAGTGATCCTCAAGCAATATACATATAGGTGCCATGAAGAATAAGCTTGGCTTTCGAATCATAAAGCCATTTGTGAATTGATAAAATAAATAAATTAAAGAAAAAGATAGCACTGAAACTTTCCTGGGAAATTTAAGCAGATTGGTTACAATAATGGCCAAAAAGCTTATGTATTGTATGCGGCACAAATAATCAAGATATTAAACTTCAACGACAGGTTATTTGTCATTTGATCCAATCGTCCAAATTCTGCAGCATTTTTTTTTTAAGAACTGTTTTCCTCATCGATTCCATTTCTTTTTATCTATCTTGAATACTTGAATATACCGGCCGCAACACTATAGAGAAGGTGACTGATATTGACTATTAACTGTTTAGTCACAAAAACTCAGTAGAAAGTGCCTTTGTCTTGCCTTATCGTGTTGTGCCGTGCTGTGCCTCAAATCCTTTCCAAGACGCCAATCTCAATCCTTTTAAAGTTGGAATGGAGGAAGGAATCCATACAAAACACAATAAGAGAAAAGTCCTCCTCCCTCTACGTTTTTCAAACTCGAGTTCATTTACCTTTCCTTCTTTCGCATCTTTTTTCCCTCAAACCAAACATCATTAGGCTTCAATGAGGGTTTGAAACAATATAGATGACTCTATAAGGGCCTGCATGAAGACAGGAAATTTGTTTCAATGTAAGAGATAAGAGATAGACGGTAGATATAAACAAGTGCAAAAGCGAGTAGCAAAGTTGATAAACCTTGACGCAGTGGAATAGAAGAAAAAATGATATTAGGCCTCTCCGTTGTGTTGGTTCGAATCACAACTCAAGTTTTCGTTACGGTGTTTTCTCTCACAAAAATTCAAATTCAACTTTTCGTGTCACTTTCCAACATAAATTCACTTTTCAACTTGAGTTAAAAACTTGAATCAACGAAACGAATGAGGCCTTAGACTCTTTCATGAGTTAGAGCAGGAAGTATACTAAAATAGCTTTGAAACTTTATAATAATAACGGGAGGAAAAGAAGGGAACTGAATTACAAGAATAAGCCTTATTTATATGCTGATAAATCCTGGCCTCTTTAAGAATCCTAGTAAGATTCAAACTAAATCATAATAACATTCAAACTTGTCCCACATCAAACCTGATATTGCTTCTTTTTTTTTCCCCCTTCCTAGAAAAGGATAAATGGAATTTGGAAATCTTGGCTAGATCCAAATTTCAACCTCAAAAAAGAGACATAAGAAAGTTGCGCGTCTGAAACTTGTATAAAGGAAGCGAGTTGAAAAACTCTCAAAGACTTTTCCCCAAAAGGGATGTCTCTTAGTTAAAATTTTTGTCACATCCAAATATCACAAGTTAAATAATCTCGTCATTTACCTCCGCTGGGGAATCTGGCTCATAGTTTAGACAGAGATTGCTTGCAGCTGAAGCTAAATACCAAATATCCCTTTCACTTCAATAAAGCAGCATTTTCTCAACTTGTAATCTCAATCCAGCTTTTTCCCACTTCCTTAGAACCCACTAGTTTGGAAGCTTTTCTCACTTTGCTCAAACTATCCCACATACCAAGTTCTGCATAGACATTTGAAAGTGTCACATATGTGGAAGGATCTTCTGGTAAGCTTTTAAGAAGATTTTTATCAATGGTCTTTAGGAGTTTGACATTTTTGTGCGTTCCACATGCCCCGAGCAAGGATCTCCATATTGTTTGGTTGGGGCTACATGGCATGTTGGCAATCAATTTTTTTGCCTCTTCAAAACACCCAGCTTGACTAAGAAGGTCAACCATGCAATTGTAATGCTCTACACAAGGTTCTAGTCCATCTTCAAGTTTCATCAAACTTAAAAACATCCACGCTTCTTCAACCAAACCCGCATGTCTACAGGCAGAAAGGACACCAAGATAGGTGATTTCATTTGGCTTCACTCCCGATTCTCTCATCTCATGGAAAAACTGAATAGCTTCTTTTGCTCTTCCATTTTGCCCGCACCCAACGATTATCCCAGTCCAACATACAGTGTCACGTTCTGTCGTGCATTCAAAGAGAGCTAAACCATCCTCAATCTCACCACATTTTGTGTACACATCGCTTAGAGATGTTAACACAACTCCCTCCGATTCATATCCACTCTTGGTACAGAAAGCATGAATCTGTTTTCCACTTCTAAGAGAAGCTAAACAGGAGCAAACTTTCAAAACACTTGAAATAACAAACTGATCTACCTCGAGATTCAAACTAATCATCTCTCTAAATAACGAAAAAGCTAACCGGCTTAGTTCCATTCTCGAACACCCTGTTATCAAACCAGACCAGGCAACGATGTCTTTCTTTGGAAGCCTATGAAACAATCTCAATGCTTCGTTGATTCTTCCGATTCTCGCGTAAAGGTCTACGACAATGCTTCCCACAACATAATCAAACTCGTACCCACTAGTGACAACCAAACCATGAACTTGAAGCCCGAGTCTTGAATTGAGTAAGTTGATGCAGGCCTTTAAAGCACCACTGAAAGTGTAGGAATCCAAATATGCACCTGACCTATGAATTTGTGTTACTAAATATAAAGCTGCTCTATTATGCTCGTTAATAACATATCCAGAGAGCATGGAATTCCAAAGTGGCAAATTATCACAAATGGAAGGATAACAATTAGAGTACTGATGAAACAACTTTGACGCTGCAATAATTTCACTGCAATCAGAATACATATCAATCAGAGCAGACAAGGTAAAACGGCAAGACTCAAAGCCTGACTTCATCACGTAACAATGGATCTGTTTCCCATTACCTAACAGTCCATGACAGCCGCAGGTTTTAAGTGCACATGGAAATGTAAAACCGTCGAGTTTAAGGCCTTCTCTGTGCATTATACACACGAATTCAGAAGCATGCGGGCTTCCTTTATCTGCAAAACCGGCAACGATGCTGTTCCAAGAAACGACATTGGGTTCCGGCATTTGATAAAGCAAATCCACTGCTTCCTTCATGTAACCCGCCTTGCTGTAACCCGAGATAATCGTATTCCATGTAGTCGAATTCTTAAACAAAACCTGATCGAAAACTTTCTTGGCATCACTCAAAGTCCCACATTTAACATACATATCCAAAAGGGTGTTCATCAAAACAGTGTCAAACTCCAACCCGGCACTAGATATCCCTTCATGTATAGATTTCCCGAATTTGAGGTCACCGAGAAGACCACAGGCTTTGAGCACCGCAGAATACATGAAACCATTCGGCATCTCTGATTTCGACTCCAACATGTGGCTGTACAATCTGACGGCCTCATCGGGCCTTCCTCCATCGGCATAAGCAGAGACCACGGTGGTCCACGTAACAATGTTTCTGTCAAGCATTTCATCAAACATCTTCCGTGCATCTTTTAAATCCCAGAATCCCGCATACATTGAGATCAAATTGTTAGCAAAGAATACGTCGCTTGAGACGCCGAGTTTGATCAAATGGCAATGAAATGCTTTGCCGGGGTTGAAGGCCCGAATACGGCCACAATGACGCAAACCTTTGGCAATATGATTCAAGTCCATTACTGAAATGAAGGGTCAATAAATCGGCATGCTCTAAGTCTTACCCAATTTCAGATAAATGAGCATTGTATGGAGCTCAAGCTGAAGTAACGTTCAATATCTGGGACCATCAGATTGTGACATGGCTTGAAGAGTGAGGACTAAAGTGATTGAGTGGAGTTTATAGTTTACACCTTCTTGTACAGAGTAATTGGCGCCTTATGAGAAATTTGCTAAGATGTCCGCCCAATAAAATCACATTCTTTAGTTTTTACGTTGAAGGACTATTTGGTCGCGCGGACTAAAAATTAGTCGTATGTGGCCATTCTGAAGTCATATTGTAAATTCTTTGCTAAAAAAAAAAAGCCATATTGTAAATTAATTTTTTTATTAAATTAAAGTGACTATTTTTGTCACATTTTTGTTTGTTTGTTTGTGTTTTATAAGTTTAGAGACTAAAGATCCGTTTATTTCATCGATTCGAGTTTAGAATTTGAGTTTTGATACAGTAAAAAGCTCTCCGAAACAGTCACATCTAATTTTTTTGCTACAGTAAAAAACTCTTACATAAAATCACATTTAAACTCGAATTAAAAACTCAAATCAGCGAACTAAACGAGCCTTAAATTTGATGCAACTTGCTTTCCATCCATTTATTTACAAGAGGGATTTACTTTATCATTTTTTTAGTTTAGAAATTAAATTTAATACGATTTTCAATATTTATAAAGAGAAGAAGGTTCAAGGACCTTACATAAGTAATTTAACGTTTTCTTGAAAAAAAAAATAATAACAGATTGACTGAGACACTTTTTCAATTTAAACACAACTTATTCCTCATTTATTTGCATAATTGACATGGACTAGTTGCAAAGAGAAGAAATCACGGATCAGTCACAAGTTTATTCCTTATTTATTTGCGGATTATCCCGTCCTACTTCAGTTCCTATTCCTAAACAGCTCTTCTCAAGTTCGTGGATGAGACATGTAGATGCAAAATGGTGTCAAATTTTCACATTTTGGCCTCCTCAAGACGATGTTCCTTGCTCTTTGTTAACCAAAATTGCTTTTCTTAAGCTTACAAAAACGACAAATAAAACTGTAAGGATAAAGAAGTGTTACACCCTTGCTACAAAGACACAAATCCGTAGTGTTTCTACACCAAGCCCCATTAGACCAGAACCAGAAATCCATCTCCAAATGGACAAGAAAATTCTGAATATCCACAAGGAAAAAAAATACCAACTCCAAGTTCATCTCTGCTTACTGACAAGCTTTAGCCGGTGCAAGAAAGAGATCCAACATCATTCACAAGAAAAACTAATGCGCAAAAAAAAAAAAAACGAGTTTCTCTAGTGATCAATCTGCACAATTTCCTGTACAATTACGAACACATCTACCTTTGCCGGCATCGTCTTGACGAGCAATGGAACAAGAGTATAAACCACACGAGAGAAGAACCGACTTCCCATGGGCGAAGTATAAGATTGGTTTGAAAGCACAACTGAGAAATTATGAAGCATGACGCGAACATCAAGAATGCGTAAGCAGGTCTACTTGTGTGTTATGCCTCTGCTGTAGACACCTGCATTCCGGCAAAGGGTAAGTGTATACAGAAGATTTTCTGTTTATCTTTTTCACTCTTGGTATTATCATTCCTTTGCGGTCGCTTTCAGCTAGCATTGCTTCCATTTCATCCTTGAAACCTTGCCAACTGCAAAGCAAAATTCAGGAACAAAAGGAAAATTGGGAATATATATATATATATATATATTTTAGTAGATCAAAAATCTTAATTCGAAGCTTAAGACTTAAAGAGTAGAAACAGAAGAGCTGTACTGTAATTTATTCAGACATAAATCACATTGCACAAATCTATGATTCAGCTTTGCAACCGATAGAAAATTCTTTGTTGCTTCCACAACCAAGGATTAAGTAGACTTACTTTTCCTTCTCCATTGTAGGGATTGCTCTATTCTAGAGCATATTATCTTTTACCCTATTGATTGTCATCAGTATACTTAGCTAGACCAGTTATTCGTATTGTGTTATGTTCTACCGGAGGAATGCTAAGGTTTCATCAAAAGGAAAAAAAAAATTTCCACCTCAAATATATATATATATATTGTAAATGTAAGGGGGAGAAGAATACCTTATATTCCTATCCTCTAATAGAACAACAAGCTTGCGCTTATCAGGTATGATTGTCCTGGCATGTCCGGCATAGAGAAATCGCCGCTGACCCATTAGAAAATGTGGGAAGTTCCCACCTTGAGTTGTTACGAAAACCTCACTAAGCAAGCATACTGTATAGTCTAAAGCCGCCAATCTCGAAGAATATCCCTACCAAAGGAGAAAATCAGTATTAAAGCATGTCAAAGTCTCAAATATTAGGCCACAGTTACAGCAGGACTAAGATAATACTAACAACTCAAAATGTTGTGCCAACTGATTATACTCCATTGGTTTCATATTCATTTATTCAGCTTAACTTTTGCAATATAAAAATAATTTTGTTGCCATTTATCAAAATTGATCTTATTAAAACAGGAATGAAATTTGTAAAACCCCATTCGACTCATTTAACAAATAAGCATTTTAAGAATATTAGCATGGTCACAACCGATCAGAACGAGAAAATTAGTTTTACCTGAAAAGGAGCAAGCTCATCTGCGGATGCAAGATCCTCCTTCGTATGCACGTAGGGAAACATCTTTAGCAGAGGAGCTAGACGTTTCTCTTGCTGGTATATTTTTCCCGAGGCCAAGTAGATGGAAGTGTTGTTATCGAATCCCATACCCCGGAGCATCATTCCGACCTACACTGACAATTCCATTGTGAAGAAATAGAGCTATTATTATTCACAACATCAAAGACGTAGAAAGAAAACCATAAAATCTATAACGAGCAACCATTAAGGGCATCTATTCTCTCAATGTTGTATTACACACGGGTCAAGAGAATGACACCTTTAGTGTCAGAAAAGCTGCAGAAGTGATTGGTACTTTTAATACCTCCAATGGGGTTAGTGGACATTTCCCTTCAACTCGGTTTTGACCAGGTGAAATAACACGATCTTTTCGCTTGAATTTCTTCTTCCACCCTTTTTCTCTAATTGAATCCATCTCCGACTTTTCAGCCTCTCCCCCATCATACAAACAACACGAGAAGGCCACCATATCCTAGTTGATAAGGAAGAATCCGTAACCAAAAGCTTGATAAAATGAAGCTTTATACTCCAGAAAGATCCATAATTTCTCAAGAAAATGTAGAAAATGAGGATTCTTACCTCCTCAAACCGAAGATGGACAGAGATGTATTTTCCACCGGTTGTTGGGCTCTTTTTGGCCATACGACTAACTAATGTCTTTCCAAGAGCCAAAATCGGAGCAGAAAACCTCAATGCTTCATAATTAGCTAGACATCTTAGAAATTGAATGTGTGGTGGGACATTCATAGCCAATCTATTAGCAAAGGGCGACATCCGAATAATCCTGCATCACATAGTAACCAAGAATGTAAAACTAGCAGTAAAGTTCCAATGGAATTTACTATATAATACATTGCCACCAGGTCATCGGTCAGCAATTTGCTGCTTCCACTTAGTTCATATGCACTTGTTGACCACTTGAATTTATATAAAGGAAAAGGTAATGTTTCACTACATACCCTTGACTTCTCAGGACGGGATAAACGACTCCGGTGTAATAATTGGCAGAAGCCCAAGCTTCGACGCGGAAGTTTGGTATCTTACTAATGTTATAATCGTATCTCTCCATCAAGTCCTGAGGTAGCTCTTTAACAACCTTAACATAGCCCTCAAGAGTGGAAATGAAATGATCTTCATCATAGATGTCAGCAAACTTACTGTAAATGAAAGAAAAGGAAAAGCAATTTCAAACAATAGTGAAAATTGCATACTATAAAGGAGCAAGGAGATGTAATTACAAGACAATTTTAGTTTTAAAAAAAAGAATGGAACTCCAAATTATATACAATGAATTAGTCTCAGAATCACTATCACCAGGCTGGCAGGCTAGCTAAGATATAGCTAGTTAGTGATAGAATACTAATAGTTTTCACAAGTGTTTTTTTTTTTTTTTTTTTTTTTAAAGTTATATCTCATCAAAATAAGAAATTTAAGATCTCATTCATGATCATATGATTGAAAATTTTCCATCTCCGTTATGTTTCAAGAGAATAGTCATGAATGAAGTGATATACAGTAGTTTCTTACCTTGAATCCCTCCAAACACTATTGAACTCAAATTGAGGAATTACTAGAATTGCATTCAAAAGTCCAGCAACAGCGACCGCATTGCAGATCTGCCAGTAAATCAGATAAATAAACTTGACGAAGAAGAAGAGATGGAACCAGTGACCACTGAATATCAGTTACGTAATGCCTAAAGTAGTATATCTATACTAACAGATTCACGTACCGCAGATCGCTGCTGGTTAAGTCCACCATTAGCCTCAACAACCAAGTAGCCACTAGGGCCTGAGGAATCTGGATTTCAACGGCAAAAAATTCAGCTTAAATGTACCGATTACACTGATTATTTTCCCAATCATATTCATTAACTAAAAAACTTGCTCAATAAACAATGATGACTACATAAAAAGTCAATTCCAATCCACTTATAAATCTTCACTCTTTTATGATGTTTCTAACATTCTCACGCATAAATAAATAAAGAAATTATATAGCCACAATTCCCTTGCCACCAAATTTCTAGCTCCCCACGAAGCACAACTGATAATCATGTTGAGTCTGTGAAGCCTAATTATTGCATCGACGCTTTGAGGTAAGGATGAGATGAGGATTGAAAGGGAGATGGTATGCTGATTACACAAATATTAGGGGATGCCGGTTTGGGGAATAAGGTTAGAGAGAAATACAAAAAGACTGAGAGGCACGAGGTGTGTGATTCTTTGTAATGTTCTTCATCATAGTGAAACTCTGTAGAACGTAACTCTCACGTTGACGAAAACTAGTATAAATCTTGTGTGTACTTGATTGCTTTTCTTTTCGTTATCATGATAATTCATAGGCAAATAAAGGATTGTGTGAAAATGAATACATACCAAAGAGTTGTCCAGCAGTTGAATTGGGACAGGGCTTCTGCTCTTTCAGTCTCCTTCTGTAACTCCACACTGAGGAAAGCTGCATTAAAAGAAGACAAAAAAAAAAATGATGGTATAATCTTTGCTTATCACAGTAACACAAAATCTATTCAAAATCAAATAATGGTCAACCTGTTCTGACTACTAATAGCATATGTTAAAAAATACATGGCTGACCTGATAAACAACTCTATGGAGTATGAAGCAATGTTTCCACTTAAGTATATATCTTTGACAAAGAACAAATTAAACAAATAGATTCAACAATTATTTGTCATGTTGTTTATATTAAGAAGTTGAATCCCAAGGATGATTTCAGTTGAATTCTCTTCATCAAATTGCAAATATCTTCTCTTTCTATGTTTCCTCAGACATAATCCACTCATTTCTAACATAATCATTTTTTTTTTCAAAAAATAAAAAGTACTTTGAATTCTGTATTATCACTAGAAATATTAGAGAAAGACACAATTGAATTGGGATCATTGAAAAGATCACCTCTTTTAAAACCCACTAAGGAGTTCATAATTTAAAAAAAAAAAAAATTTAAAACAATCATCGTTAGAATTTAGATTTCACTTTAAGAAGAAAACGAACTTCCTCCAATTAGAGCTCCAAAAAACCTAAATTATTCAGAAACGAAAACAAAAACTATTTTCTGTCGTTTTCAGAAAAACAAGCGGCGTTTGACAAATGTTTCCTCAGAACAGCAGTGTTAAAAACAAAAAAAAAAAAAAGGTCTTTTCATGATCTTTTCCTTTCCCCAAAATATTTCCCACCTCTCCAAACCAAAATTCCAAACCTCAAACATCTCTTTCATTTTGTCTTTTTTTTTTTTCCCTCTCATCATTTCAATTTCTACATTAAAAAAAAAGTATATTTATTTAAATAAATAAATAAAGAGGAAAAAAAACCATTAATCTAAACCTGAATTGCGGAAGAATTATCGGAGTGAATATCATCCCAGAGCTTCTGGAACATCTGGTGGCTTCGGTAGACCGACCCGGGAGGAGGTGGGGAGTGGCCCACCAGGGCGGAGAAGGGGCCCACGCACATGATCAGCCCGGACACGTACAGCATCGGGAGTACCAGCAAGTAGCGAAGTTTCCTGCGGAAAAAAGCGCCGCCGGAGAACGACTTCGACCTCAGGCGGCGCCGGCAGAATGAGAGGCTGCCGGAGCGGCGGCGCGGCGACGGAGGCGGGCTCGGTGACGTGTCGCTTGAGCTGCCGCCATTGCCGTTCTGGTGATGGGTTTTGCCCTTCATAATAACCGAACTGGGTTTTTAGTCTCTTCGCTGTTTCTGTTTGTTTGTGAAAAAAAAATGTGGCTTCTTTCTAGTTCGAGAGAGAGAGAGAGAAATGTGGGTTTGGTTTGGTTTAAAGCTAGCTCTTTCAAGTTTATATCTTGTACGTTGCACAGTTTTCATGGAGGAACTTTTTCTTTTTGGAAAAAGAAAATAAAAATTAAAAAAAAAAAAGAAAACAGTGAGAGACGGAGACAGTGACAGAGAGAGAAGAGAGTGTGTGGCTTGGAGTGGAGCCGACGATGATGCTGACAGTTGCGGTATGTCGTCAGTTTGGCTTTTTTTTTTGGTTTTTGGGTGTGGAGGTAAAAAACTCTGGAGATTTTTGTTTGTGTATGAAATTAGCCAAAAACCATAGAAAGTGCTTTTACACTTGAGCCATTTTATACACGTCCGTAGCAAGTAAGGAATTCCCATCCTGGGTTCCAACTTCCAGGGTACTGTACTCTTTTGTTTGTTTGTTTGTTTACTCTTCCTTTAGATGTCATTTTCATTCTTGATTTGGGTTTTATTATAATAAAAAAATTTTAAAAATAGTTATATTTAATTTTTTTATTATAATAAAATTTTTTTACATAATATCACATATCAACTCGAATTAGCGAATCGAACGGACTCCTGAGTGTCATTTTTCTGGGGACTTCTCTCTCTGGTTTTTTTTTTTAATTTTTTTTTATTTATCAGGCTTTTGGTTTGGAAAATCTCTAAAATGGTGATATAGAAGTGCTTATAGTATTAGTAGGTGTTTATTTAACGTAAATTATATTACAATTAAATAATATGTGCAAATATAAGATTTATCTTCGGTCTTTCATATGTACGAACATAAATAATACTAGAGACATTAATTTAAATCTCAATTATTATATACTAATTAATGTAACATATGAGTTGCCATTTTTATATTGATGCGTATTTAAAATGTTGACACGTTAATTAATAAAAGAGAAAGAAATTACATCTATCAATAAATAAATTACAACGTACATGACACATAAGTTGATACGTAAAAGTTGGGATTTAAATTGATATTCTTAGCATGTAAGTATTTCAACTTATGCATGTTAGACGTGTAATTTACATCAATTTATGCATGTTATACATGTAGAATGGAACTGATTAAAGCACAATGTAATTAGTAATATAATAAAAAAATATATATGATATGTGCATACATAATTTTTGTCGTTACGCAATAAATGAAGTTGAACTAAGTTCAAAACAAAACCAGTTATATCATGTCATAGTGTATGGAATTATGAATGCTGTACAAGCTTCACACTATTCTCTTGTTTGACATAATTTACTGACTTTCAAGTTTGATATATGAATCTTTGATTAATTGTTAAAAAAAAAAATAAAAAAAGTGATAATGCTAACCGCAGTGATAATCACTATTCCTCTTCACTAATCTACTATATATTGTTGGAGCATCTCCATTTCAGTGTCAAATAAGTTTGCCAGTGTTAATTTTAAATTCGAAATCCAGTTTCCAGTACAATATTACTTTTTCTACTAAATTTAACATGTGTTAAATGCCAAATTTTGATGTTTAATTGTTACTAGTCAATATCATAACTTTTTCTTATGATCACTACACTAAAGATTTTTTTTCATAATATTTTAATTTTGAAATTTTATTTTTTTACAAGTTTAATGCCTTAATAATTAGGTTAAACACAAAATATAGTGTTTAATGTGTAATAATATGTGATCAAAACACAAAAGAAAGCATATAAAATTTTTACTTTTTTTTATTATGACATATAACATTAGCTTTAACATCTGCATGATTCAAGCACGTGAATTCATCGTAAATATGGAACAAAAAAGGGTTGAACAAAAAATTTAAACAGAAATTTAATTTTTTCGTGAGATAAAATATTGTAATGAAAAAGTTTAATATTGTTTAATCCTGCAAAGAAATGGACTACAAATTATGATATCTTTGTAGTAGTACATGCATATTTGCTCACTGATTAAGTTTTTTTTTTTTTTTTTTTTTTTTTTTTTTTTTTTTTTACAATTAAATTTATATATATTTATATTAAAAATTTACCGCGCATCTTAAATATTTATTTTTATTTTAAATTAAATTATTAAAAAATTAATCTAATAATTAAAACACAGATTCTTTCCGCTTTCGCTTTCGTCTCCGTAGACGCACCTAAATGAATGAGCTAATAATAAGGACCAACAGAGAGAGAGACATGAAGGGTAGCTGGAGCAGACACGCTGGGTAGGGGGACTTGGGTTCTCTGTCTAATTTTCATTACCCAAACTGTGTCGACTCACTCGTGGGACGTTTAATTAATAAGTTTAGAATTATAATTTATAATTTAAATTTTAAAAATTTAAATTTTTTATAAAACAAAAATATTATAAAAAATTAAAAATTATAAACGTTTAGTTCATGAATTTAGAATTATGATTCAAAATCATTCTCATTTTACATGTATTTTTTATAAAAAAAAAATATTATAACAAATTATAAATCATAATTCGAATCATAACACAAATCTCTCTTATAAATGCACCCGTTATGAACGAATACTTGTTCTAAACATCCCATTTATACCACCTCATTAAAAAATTTTAACAGCCTTACAAGAGACTTTTCCGTTTAATAACCGTTATCTTTTTTGATTTCTCTCTCCTTTTTTCTAGTTTTTCGTAAACCGTTTCCTATTTTCCAGGCAGCTACTACTCTTTCTTCTTCTTCTCTTCTTTCTCCGTTCTCTTTCATTTTTATTCCCAAAACCTTACCCATAACATTCGTCTCTCTTCTATTCTCTTGAAAGGTCACATCAATCTATAAACATTTTTTTTAATCAAATAACATGATTTAAGGTCTTGTGGCTCTTGTGGGCCTGAGAAGCCGGCGACAAAAACGACGTCGTGGAAGCGGAGACGGTGGATAAGGAAGGGGATTGGTCTGTGTAAATTAGGATTGCATTCAGAATTAGAAATGTTAGGAGGAGAAAGAGGAACAAAATAATCGGGATTCAAATCTCAGTGACTTGACGTGTATTTGTTTTCACAACACACATATATATTTATATGTAATATAACAGTCTAATTTTTATCCTTGATAATACAAAATAATTTTGAGAAATGAGAGGAGGCCACTAGTTTATTCGGTCTGTGAATTTCGCTTTCACAGTCTGCAATTTCCCTTGGTTTGCTCGAGAAAGACGATAAATTGGAGAGAGGAGAGAGAAATCATAACGCTTTTAAAATAAAGGGTGAAGAGAAGAGAGAGAAATCAGAGAAAGATAACATGGGTTTAACGGAGAAATTTATTAAAAAGTTGTTAAAATTTTTATATCTCTTTTCATTCCTTAATTTAAAATTTTAATTTAAGTTAAAAATATAATTTTATATGAAAATTTTTAATTATAATAAAAAAAATTACATATAATTTTTTTAAAAATTTTTAAGACCTATTTAATTTAATAATTTAAAATTTTAATTTAAATTAAAATGTAACTTTATGTGAGAATTTTTTATTATAATAAAAAATTAAATATAATTATTTTTTAAAATTTTTTACTCAATTTAAATTAGTGAATTAAATGAGATTTTAATTATAATAAAATTAAAATTAAAAAATTAAATCAATCAAATGATCATATTTTAATAAAATAGTATAATAATGGTCGGACAGTTTGATAAAATTAAAAGATAGAAGATCCGAAGTCCAGAGGAGGGGAAGCCGATCCATAAATCACGGCAGAGGAATTAGATGAATTAGCAAAAATAGCAATTGCGTCGCCTCGGGCTTTGTACTTTTATGATCCCACCACTGACCACTACTAACATCTGTTTATTTTCTTGACCTCTTTTTTTGGACCATTATACCCTTTTGCCCTCCACCCCTCAACGCTGTCTTGTTGACCGCCACTTTTCCACCCCTCACATTACTCCACTTTCAAACCTCTATTAACGGATCTTAATCATCATTATCCACTTATATAGTTTTTTAAATCTCTCTTAAGAGATGGATTATTTTGATTTTTTTTTCAGTTTGAAAGAACTGAGGCCCGTTTCATTTCACTAATTTGAGTTTTATTACAGTAAAAAATTTTCATAAATTGTTACATTTAATTTTTTGTTATAGTAAAAAATTTTTGTATAAAGTTACATCTCAACTCAAATTAAAAATTTAAATTGATAAATTAAACGGACTCTAAATTACCGGATGACGCTGCAATTGTCCTAAAAAGACGTAGCCCTTTTAAAAAGAAAAGGTTACAATAGGTTTCACTTTTATGAAACATATTAATTCTCGTTCTTTTATGGATTTTTTTTTTTTTTTACACTTTTATCATTTAATTTGAAGAGAATTGATAAATTATGTTCTAACTTTTGATTTTTACAATTGAAAAAATTTACCACCTAAATGGACGATTCGAAGAATGTTAAAATTCAAGAGTAAACATCCTTTACCATCATAGTGCCATTGTATTTAATTGCCCTTTTATTTCTGTTAATTTTTCAACACAGTTTACTGATGCATAAACCAAACTTACGTTATTTGAAATAATATTTTCGTTTTCAGTAAAAGTGAATGCCTCAAAGACATTAAACTAACACTATTGTCTAGCCATCTTGCATTAATTAAAGGCCCATTTAATTCAAGTTGAAATGTGATTTTATGTGAGATTTTTTTACTATAATAAAAAAAATTAAACGCGACTATTTCTAAAAAATTTTTACTGTAATAAAATTCAAATCGATAAAATAAACAAGACCTAATTATAATCCTTAATTGTTTCATGGTTTTTTTTCCCTGAAAATAGAATGTGTCACAATTGTAGTGTACAATATCAAACCTATTATGCCTATAAATTGCTTGTTAGTTATAATAGGACAAACACCCTTGACTAAAAATCTCAATAAAAGCAAGGCTGAGGACTAACTGGGCAACACAATGACACTTTACTTCTTTTACACATGTAAGTCTTATATGTTGTCTACAACTTGTTGAC